CAGGCGTGCCCCATGCCGTCGTTGAAATAGTCGCCAGCGCGGGTCTGGACTGTCGCCTTGGAGCGGCCCGGGAGGTCATGATACAAGCATTGAATTCCAGCGCCCATACTCTGTCCGGGGATTCCAGGTCGCCGCGGGTGAACCATTTTCCCGCACCACAGCGAGCTGCCCCCCCCCCCCACGACCCCACGTTCGTGAAGCAGCGCTCCTCCGCCTGGTTCTTGACCTCCTCGACCTAAGAACAGGCCTGCGGCGTGTTCTGAAGCATCCGCCAGGACTGGATGTCGGTGTTCACCATTTTGTTGGCAAGCGCGCCGACAGGACTGTTGCCACTGGGTCGGTAAACCAGCCTGCCCTGGGCCGCGGTCGCGACCGAGTTAACGCGCTTGTAGTAGGCCGACCACCTCTCCTCCTCGCGAGGGCGATGCAATACTGGCACCAGAGAGGAACTCAGCGGATTAAGAAACACCCCGTTCGGAAGAAGATCTACAAGCAATAATTCTGCTTGACGGGCCGAAGCGATGACGATGGTTGTAACGACTGACTCGTGCGCCACCGCCCCCACTGTTCTGAGCGCGCGTTTGGCCACCGCCTCGTTCAGGACAAGGGCGGGAGCCAGGGTTGTTTTTTCCTGAGCCTGCATCCGCAACCAATCCTGAGCGAAGTTGCGAGCGACTGCGATGCGGAAGGCCACTGGCCTGGCAGTGCTCGGAGCCACCCCGGAGCCAGCCCTGATGCCTGAGGAGGGGGTCCGAGTCGGGAGGGCACCTTGGCGCCGACGTTCTTATATCAAGGTTTGGGTATTGGAGGCCCCGCCCGTGGGGTCCTCGATGGGGATCTCCTGCTCGACCCAACCATCCAGCATCTGTTTCTGATTGAAGCAACAAATGTACGTGAGCGTCGACGGCTCCCTCCCCAGAGCCGCCTCGAACCACTCCTGAACTGCGTCGTGCTCGCTGCGGTCCCGGCACGCGATGATGGGTGGTGCCTCCGCGTGGAGAGACTTCTGATTCACGGAGCTGGCTGGCCAAGTTGTAGTTGATCCCCAGGGGTTGTGTTAGATCTTGTTCGGGGCTGGCAGCGCGGACTTTGGACTGGCCTCTGGCATTGCTGCCACAGGTGCCCGTGCGTGCCAAGAAGAGACATCCATGTGGCTGGTCCAGCGCGTCGGCCTGACTGATCAGGCGCTTCAGGTTGACAAGAAGGCGTGGGTCACTGCGATCGCCCTTTCCCTGCCGAGGACGTCGGCGTGGTAGTCTTTGTCGGTGCTGCCAGGGGACAATGCTCCCCGCGAGTCTGAGAAGCCTGATTCTGCATCATGCCCTCGAGCTCTGCCAGCTGGGAAATGGGCCTTGCATTGAAGCTGCCCCGCCTCATCTGTGCGAGCTTCCCCCTTTTTGCCCCTCCCAGGAGGGGTCTTCTTCGAAGCAGTGATCTTGCGAACCGTCGGCCGAGTCGTCGGCCTGCGAAACCTCCATGTGCTTGCCCAGCGCGGTGGCCTCGACGCCGGTGGTGATATCACTAGAGGCGCTCCCGCTGGACCTCGCAGCGGCGGCAGATCCCGTCCCATCACTGCCACGTCGGGAAGGGGTCCAGCTTCAGTGATCCGGCACCGCGCTTGCAACGGTTGGTGTGTGTGTGTGTCGGGCTTTCGCTTTTCCGTTCGCACCACTTCTTGCGCCCACACGCGCTCATTTATCTCACTCAAGACCCTTCGATGTCTGCTCCGGACGCTGAAAATGATCAAAGCATCAAAGGTATGGGAAGAGGGTCCCGCGGCCCCTGCTTGCCAAGAGTGCGCCTCCCGTCACTTTTCCACAAGCCAGAAAACCCGAAGACGGACCACTTGGGCTCCACGAGGGCCCCGAGATCATCCAAGAGGGCCTCCAGACAGCCAAAGAGCGCGACAAGACGGACTCCAGACGGCCCAAGAGGCTCCGACGGTCGACGCCCCGAGAAGGCTTCAAGAGGGTCCCCAAAACGGCCTCCAGAGGCAAAAAACATGACGTGCGATTGGCGTTTGAAACGTATTATCGTTCCCGCTATCTCGTGTCCAAGGCAGCTCCAGAGGCCCCGAAGATCGCCTCAAGGCGGCCCCAGAGAGAGAGCACCAAGACGGCCCAAGAAAGCCCCAAATCGCGTCAAGAGGCACCCAAGATGACCCAAGAGAGCTTTCAAAGAGCTCCAGGGAGGGCCCAAGAGGCGGACAGGAGCTCCACGAGCTAACTGAGACAAGCAAGAGAACGGCCCCCGACGCCCCAAGAAGGCTCCTAGGGGACCCCCAGGAAGGCTTCCGGAGGCACAGCAACCTATGAGATCCTATGAGTTACCCTAGGTTTGTGACACATGTGCGCGTTCTCGTTATTTCGACCTGCAGCACGCCTGGGACAGCTCCAGAGGCCCCAAGACGGTGCGCGAGGGCCCCGGACGACTGCCTCAAGACAGCCCAAGCGGAGGCCCCCAAGACGCCCCAGCAATACTACCCAAGGTGCACATTCCCAAAAGGCCGCACAAATGCCTGAACAGGACGGCCCCAAAATCGGCCCGAGAGGCCCCCAGGACGGCCCAAGAGCCCTCCAAAAAACCCGAGAGAAGCCCAGGAGGCTACCACTGCTCCACGGCTAGCTGCCTGAGCGTAGCAAAGCCAGGGTACCACTGCTCGGCGGCAGGCCAGTGCTAGAAGCGTCGCGGCGTGAGGTGGGAAAGATCAGGGGCACGACGGAGAGCCAACATGAACGTCCTCAAGGGGCTCCTGGATTGGTGGCAGCTTGGCAAACCTCCAGAGAACACCTGCTGGGACCCTCTGCTGGGGGAACCCGCCTCCTTCTCCTTCTCCTCCTCCTCCTCCTCATCCTCCTCCTCCTCATCCTCCTATCCGTAGCCATTTTGGCTCAAGCTAGCCTCAAGCCCCCTGGTGCGCCATTTTCCTGTTCGGCATGTGGCGTCTGGAGCTGGCTGTTTGATGAGATGGATCTACGGGACGGCATGGGAGATGCATGCCAAAGGCCCCGTCGTACCGCGGCCGACCGTCGGGTGCGGCACGAGTGGGCCAAGGAGAGCGCGGACAGGGCTATCAGGAAGCTGTCGGACGAGCTGCAGCGCTCGCGTCTCCAGCTCGAGGAGATGCAGGCCTCGCTTGCGGAGCTCTTCGGCAACGGCGAGATCTGGGACAGGATCCTCGCGGTCGTCCCGGCTTTGTCCGCCTTGCTGGCCGAGCAGGCCCCGGAGCATCTGGACGCGCTCAGGCGGAACGTGGCCCTACATTCGCGCGGGAGCCGTGGCTTCCGCTTCTCCGCGGCTTCGGCGGAGCAATTGCGAGGGGCTCAGCGGGGACCGCGACTGGGCCGAGCGGCTCCGACGTTTTCAGCTCCCGATGCGGCAGTGTCTGCTGGTGGCGATGTCGAGGGCCTCATCGGCTGCGTGGCGCCGCCCTTCGAAGAGGGAGAGGACGACCACGATCTGGAGAGCTCGAAGTTCAACATGGACTTCCACACGCCTCTCCGCAGCGCGGCACGGCCTTTCGTGCCCGCGAGACTCGACGAGGGGCTGGAGGCGGATGAGCGCGAACAGACCCACGTCGGCCAGCTGCTCAGCGCGCTGGGCGTCGACATCACGAGCAAGGTGGTGCAGATCGACAGCGGCGGCGAGCTGGCGCAGCAAAGCGGCGAGTCGAGGACCTTCGACGACTCGGAGGTGCCGATCGTCGACGTCGGCGGTGGCGTGCCCTTCGGTGACGAGGGCGCCGCAACCGACGGCAGCGAGCCGATAGACAGCATCGCGGAGCTGGAGGAACTACTCCGTGGCGCCACGGAGCAGGTGAACACGGCTTCGTACGTGATCGCGGTCGGGCAGAGCGACGGCGCCATGGCGACGCAGGCGCAGCACGACGAGCTCGATGCTGCGGCCGATCGCATGATCGCGCTCGAGGAAAAGCTCGCCTCCGCCAAGGCGGCTCAGGCCGGCTCTGGGGCCGTGAAGGCCCCGCACGCGCCGCTGGATGGAGACCGCCCCGCCGAGAGCGGGGTTGCTGCTGGTATCGAGAAGGACTCCGAGGGCGGCGACAACGACATCGATCAGGTGCCGATGGCCGAAAGCGAGCCTCCCGTCGAGCACAGCAACGTCGGCGAGCCTTTCTTCGAGGAGGGCGCCGAGGCCGACGAGGGGTCCAGCACGGTGGACTCCAGCGAGTTCGCCTACCCCACGGGCCTCACGTACATCTCGGGGCCGGAGGCTGTCGCGGCGCTCGCGCGCCGCGCGGCGGACCTGGCGGCGCTCTTCGCTGGCGTGGAGGCGGCTGCCCGTGGTCAATGAGGCCGAGAGCGGCGAGGTGTACTTCGTGGACGAGGTCGGCGTGGGCAGAGCCTGGGGCTAAACCCAGGCTCGGCCTACGCTAAGGAAGGGATCTGAGGGGTCCACGCGAATTCGGTTGCATGACCCTCCTGGGTCGAGTCTTGCCTCCTCCTCATCCTCCTCCTCCTCCTCCTCCTCCTGCTCCTATCCTCCTCCTCCTCCTCCTCCTCCTCCTCCTCCTCCTCCTCCTCCTCCTATCCTCCTCCTCCTCCTCCTCCTCCTCCTCCTCCTCCTCCTCCTCCTCCTCTCCTCCTCCCCTCCTCCTCCTCCTCCTCCTCCTCCTCTCCTCTCCTCCTCCTCTCCTCTCCTCCTCCTCCTCCTCCTCCTCCTATCCTCCTCCTCCTCCTCTCCTATCCTCCTCCTCCTATCCTCCTCCTCCTCCTCCTCCTCCTCCTGCCTCCTCCTCCTCCTCCCTCTCCTCCTCCTATCCTCCTCCTCCTCCTCCTCCTCCTCCTCCTCCTCCTCCTCCTCCTCCTGCTCCTGCTCCTCCTCCTCCTCCTCCTCCTCCTCCTCCTCCTCTCCTTCCTCCTCCTCTATCCTCCTCTTTCTCCCTCCTTCTCCTCCTCCTCCTCCTCCTCATCATCTTTCTCCTCCCCCATAAGCCAACCCGTCTTGACAGGAGCAGCAGCAGGGAGCAGCAGCAGAGCGTCCAGAAGACAGCACAGCGCCATCACCAGGACCCAGGCGGCGCCGAAGAGGGGGAACGCCCAGCTGGGTCGCAACCAGCGCCTGCTGGGGGGGAGGAGGAAGGGGACTGAGCGAGAAGAAGAGGACGAGGATGAGGGTATGAACGAGAAGAGGAGGAGGAGGAGGAGGAGGAGGAGGAGGAGGAGGAGGCAGAGGCGGAGGAGGCGGAGGAGGCGGAGGAGGAAGACGCATGTAGGTCGGCAGGAGGGGATGCGCGCGCGAGGCGAGTTCTCGACGCCGGCGGCAGTCGGAGGGGCGACAGCGAGGAGGACAGGTGTCTGCGACCCCACCGACACCCCAGCTCTGGCGTGTCCCCCCAAGACACCGACACCAGCGTCCAGAAGATGAAGGGGCTCGGCCAGGCGCGCGCAGCGCCAGGCACCAACTCTGGCGCCAAGCATGCCCTGAGCAGGGCCTGGCAGCCAGGTCACCGGGAATATCTGCGCCAGCCTTCCTGCAGAATCCGCCACCGCGCCTGCAGCACGTTGAGGCGCGGAAGAATGCCAAGGACTGCCTGGCAAATTTCGATCGTCTTCTAAGAATCCACCCACTCTTCGTTCAGCAGACAGGCGACTGCACCACTCCTACTCCCGGGGGAATCCTGGGCGGCCATGGCGCCTCCCTGAGGCTCTCCAAGGCTCCCATGACGGCCCAGGAGACCGCCAAGACGGTCCAAGAGGGCCCCGAGTCGCCGAACGATCGCTCGAAGACACCCAAGATGGCTCCAAGACGCCCCAAGAGGCCTCCAGGAGACCCCCCAAAAGGCAAAAATCATTGATTTTCTTATGGCTTTTGGAGGATTCGGGCGTTCTCGTCTTTTCGACTTTCCGACGCTCCAGGACGCCCCAAGAGGCCCCCAGTACCACCCCAACACGGCCCCAGAGGCCTTCAAGAGGGCCTCAAGTCGCCCCAAGACGGCCCAAGAGGCGCCCAAGACAGCCCAATAGGGCTCCAAGACGACCCCAAAACGGGCCCAAGGCAGGGAACACGAACCGAAAAGCCAGGCCTTCCGCCCGCAGAAGCCCCCAGGAGGCCCCAAGAGGCGCCCAAGAGGCCCCAAGAGGCCCCCAAGAGGCCCCGAAGAGGCCCCAAGATGCCCCAAAGAGTTTCTCAAGAGGCCCCATGAGGCCCCAAAACGGTTCCCAAGATGCCTCAAAACTGCCTCCAAGAGGCCTCCCAGAGGGCTCCCACGAGATCCCAGCGAACACCCAATAGGCTGCATGCCCACAACCCAGGCAAGGTGGTGGGACTTGCCGTGGGCAGCTGGGTGGGGGCTTCACTGAGCTGGAACCCCGTGCAGGCGTTAATTGGCGGCGTGCGCAGGGGGGAAGTGAGAAGGGGCGGGCCTTCTCAGCAGAAGGCTCGGAAGTCCCCCGGACCTCTGACAAGTGCTCTGAGCCTTCCCCGAAGACATCCAAAACCTCTCAGAAGGCGCGAAGGATTCTGAGAAGTCCCGCCGCCTTCCGAGAAGGCCTTCTCCTGCTCACCCCCCTCCCCTCGCTCGCTGCCGCATGAAGCGGGGTCGAGCCCTGCCGTTTGCCGTTTCCCGCTAAACACAGCGTCTCTCCGCCTCCCCGCCGCGAATCGGCCGGCAGGCGCGCCCCGCCTCCCTGGCTTCGACAGCGAAAGCGGACCTCGGCCCCAGAGAGGAGAGGAAAACGGAGGTTTCAACTACTAATCGAGGGGTCGAGCCCTCCACCCCCCTCCGCAGCGACAGCGTCCAGCGTGAGCCTCAACAGCCGCGGCCGCACGCGGCAGCGCCGGGCGCGCCGTGCGCGGCGCGGCCGCAGAGGGGCTCGCCGCGGGCTCGGCCGCCGCGGGCCCGGCCGCGCACCGCCCGCGCGGGACACGCCCGTGGCCAGCGCCTCCGTGTGCTCGGTGCTCCGCGCACGAGTCGCTGCGGGGCCCGTCGCCGACAAATAAAAGCGCGGACGGCGGCGTGCGCCGGCGTCCACCCGCGGGCCCCCCACGGCCCACAAGTCACGCCGCGAGCGACCCGGCGCCGCCGGGTGGCTGTCGACGGCAGCGGCCCCTCCAAAGCTGAGAGGCGCACTGAGCACATGCCGAGCGGTCCCCTCAAAGGTGACGAGCGCACGGGGCTCTTGGCTGCACGGCCCCCCGCCAGCACACCTCGACGCGTTGGCTTCAACTTGGGAGGGCCAGGGCAAGTTCCCTGCTGCGCGACTTCAGTGTTCCTTATCTCGTTCGTTACGGCGAGACCTGCAGATGTCGGTGAAGTAGACAGCGGGCCCCCAACACCCTGGCAATGGGCTTGCCACGATGCACCGCCTGCCTGATATCACCGCGCCCGCCGAGGACGGCGCGAGTCACACCCGAGCACACGCAAGACCGCAAGACCGCATCACGGCGACAGCGAGGCATCTGCGAGGCAGAGTGCGCGAGCGCACCAGCGGGCCTCCGCTGGTGCCCGCAGAGCCACGAGCTGGGCGGCAGCTGCGCCGCGCACCGGCGCTCCAAGTCCCGCGTGGGGGTCGGCAGAGGCGGTGCTGGCACGTGCGTCGAGGCGCTGGAGATCAGCCCGCGTAGGAGGAAGCACTCCGCCGCCTCGCTTTTCACGCGCGCCTGCACGGCGCACCGCCCGCTGTCGGAGTGCGCCTTGGAGGAAGTGGCCGCACGGGCAACCCTGGTGACGAAGGAAAGCCGTCTCGGCCTCGCCACAACAGCTCGGGCACACGTCGTCGGCACCGTCGCGAAGGCCTTGACGCGCGGCCAAGTGCCTCCGACGGCGATGGTGGCAATTAGCTTCTCGATCGCCGCGCCTCCCGGGAGCCCTCTGTGCACCTTCAGGAAGAGCTCGAGCGAGGTGAGGTCGGCGCCGTCCTTCACTCCACTGCCGCAGTCGAAGGCCTCCCGCAGCCGCACCAGCGAGCCGTCGACGACCGACGACTCTCTCCGCGACAGGAAGGCCGAGCGCTCCTGGCGGCTGCCGGCCACCCGGTGAGCGAACCCCACCGGCCCACATGCTGGCCATTAAGCACTCCAGGAGGTGGGCCTGGAATGCCGAGGTGGGCCCGCGAACCCCGCGCGAGCGCGAGCTGGCGTCCCAGTCCCACCAGCGGCGCCAGGATTGGCCCCCACACGCTCTGGACGCGCCGCCTCGGCGCCGAGGCCTCCTGCCAGGCGGTGCACCACAGCGTCCAGCGGTTCCCGTTGGCAGCTCCCATGGGCCACCGCATAAGAGCCCTGCCCCTGCATGGCAGGTTTTTCTGAAATGCCGACTGGGGTCCAGGATGCGGAGGATGTCTGCTCCCAGGGTCGATTGCTAGCGGCGCGCACAAGGGGGTAGGGTAGGGTTAGTTGGGGCCTGCCCCCCTGCAGGGGGATTTTGGACGAAAAATAATACATACTCGAAACAATACTCACAAGATGCCCACAAATACTAAAAAAACAAATCCCCAGACTATACTTTGACTATTTCTGAATATCCCCCCTGTAGGGGGACAGGCCCGGCTTAAGGGTAGGGGGAGGGGGGGAAGGCTTCTCAGAAGGAGGCGGCTCCTTGGAAGGCGCCAAACCTTACACCTATAGCCGAGGCCCGCGCCTCCTGAGAAGCAGGGGTGCTTTTCTAAGATTGTGGATGCCACGACAATGCACACCCTAATAGTCCGATCATTGAGTTTGAACTGTGTGTAAAATTAGGAAAATGTTCCAACCATGTTGAAAACATGTGCTTACATGCTTTAAACCTGTTCAATGCATGTATGAGACATCTGGAATTATTTGGCAACATGCTTCCTCTCCATTGATCGTCCTCCTCAACTCTTAGAAGCCTTCCCCCCCTCCATACCCCCCCCCTGCGCTTGGCTGAGATCGGACCCGCAGGGGTAGGGTTCAAAATCGGCTGCAGATTCCAGTGCTTAGTACTAAAAGGACCCCTAACCCTTTGGGAGGGGACCTAAGTTAGGAGGGCCGGATGTATCAAGGATAGGAGCTCTGCTCTGCAGATGTATCGCATCAGACCGCCCCAGTCTAGTATCACTCATGCCAAGACGGGGAAATCAAATAATAGGACTCAAGTGAGGCCACGTCTTCACTGTGTTATTCGGGTCAAGGGTTCGTTTACTTCCCATTGCTCGGATGTCCGTTCCCCGTGCCTTTTTCGATTTCGTGCGTACTGTTTGTTGCCAGAGGGTCGAGGATGATCCTCGAAGGTCCTCGCCGAGAAAACAAAATGCACACGTCCGAGCGATGAAGTTTATTCTCGATGATCTACATCCCCCCTCGAAATCAAACGCAAGTTTGTCCCGCGATGTGGCGGCGCCCCAGGACCCCCAAATGTTTCAATGCTCGCGCCGAAATTGGCGACTGCAGACACCAAAACCTGTCCCCGTGGGCCGCTTTTCGCGCGGCGACCAAACTGAATTATTCACTGCGTGGGGATCCCCATATGTGCATCTCCTTGCTGGCGCTCCCTTGGTGGTGGGACTCGGTGAGGACGAATCTGGATTAAAGTATGACTGAGCTGCCTCTCTCTCTGCTCTCTCTGCTCTCTCTGTCTCTCTCTCTCTCTCTGCCCTCTCTCTGTCTCTGCCTCTCTTTCCCTGCCTCTCTCTCTCTCTCTGCCTCTCTCTCTGCCTCTGTCTCTCTGCCTCTCTCTCTCTCTCTCTGCCTCTCTCTCTGTGCCTCTCTCTCTGCCTCTATCTCTGCCTCTCTCTCTCTCTCTCTCTCCTCTCTCTCTTCTCTATATTCTCTCTCTGCTCTCTCCTCTCTCTCTCACTCTCCCTCTCTCTCTCTCTCTCGCTCTCTCTCTTCTCTTCTCTTCTCTTTTCTCTCTCTCTCTCT